TGTACCAAACAAGCCCTTAACATGATCGTTTTGAATAATCTATAGCTGTTGCGTGATATACTAGATCGTAAAACTAAAATCAAACACGAGGTTCGTGCCTATAAACATGGAACCTAAAGTTTGAAAGGAAAGCCCCCAAAACTGTGCATTCAGGGCTGGCCCTTCCACCTGTGTGTCGGGCTGTCCCATCCAAAATCCAAACTTTCTTTTTTCTCCTTTTCCAACAAAGTTCCTCAAAGCTTCTTACAAAAGGTGATCCTCCTGTTGGAAAATTACCAAAACTTTTCCTTAAGACGGATGCCAAGCTCCAACATCTCTGACATAAACACAATTATTATATAATACAGTTGCAGCTCCACCATGGTTCCTCTTCAAAAGAGATAGCCAGCTCTTCTCTCATAATTTACATGCTCTTCAATCAATACTGGATTTGCATCCCTTCCTTTTGGGTTGAAAATGACACGAGCAAAAAGGGATAATAATTGATTAGATGATGGCCAGCTTTGGTCTCATAATTTACATATTCTTCAATGAATAATGGATTTACATCATTGTAAATGATAATAAAAAAAAATATTTAAAATCTTAAATTCATATTTTAGGATGGATGAAAAATATTTGAGAAATAGTTTTTTTTTTTTTTTTATTCATAAACAAGAAAAGGAAAAAATGAGATTTGATATGATATATTGACAGTTTTGAGTCTCATTAATTCATTTAGAATATGGTTGATTAAAAAGCAATTAAGCAACGGAAGGAATAAGATGCAAGAAAGATTAATGAGAGGATCCGATTTTTCATAAAGAAGACACACATATCATTTTCAAACTGTACCCTGCTTCAGATTTGAGAAAAGCCCCCACAAACAAGGTTCCTTTCCTAGTTAATCATTCAATTAAATTCAAGATGTAGAAATACTTGCTTTCTCTTCGCATTGACACCTCCAGTTGCGTAACATCTGCGTACTAGAAATACCTATGTTCGTATTTTGGATGCTTGTTGAAGAAATAATCCCATTAATTCTTTACCATAATAGAGTACAGCATTCACAAATTTACAGTCTAATGCAGTTAAATCATAAAACCTGAACTATTGTATTATTATTTTAATGCAGTTTGAATGGCAAAACACATTTTTGCTAATAGTAACATTGATAAGAAAACCCTAGTTGTGACTTCGGTCTTGGAATGAATATGCATATACATGAAAATATGAAAGAATAAAAGAAAAAAAATATAGAGTAATATATAAAGAGTAAGGATCCATGCACCTCTGTCCCACTACATACATGATTCATGTTTCATATACATAATACCTTGCTAAACACCCAAGCAAGCGAGATCCTTCTTGCTTTCTCCATTCTCATGTCTCTAGATCTATTAACCTATCCTTCATAGCAAGATAAAGTATACTCCCCTAATTAACATTTAATTAAAAAAATGTGAAAACTGAAGGCAAAATTTATTTTAACATCTCTCTGCATTATGTTTCAGTTTAAACTGACTAGTTCCTGTGAGAATTCCTCCACCAATAATCCGAGGATAGCATACTCAACCTCTAATGCCATCTCGCTCACCTGCTCTTGATTTCTCTTCCATCCATCGACCTCTCTTCTCAAATCTTGTCCCACCATCATGTCAATGGTGTTTGCTTCCACTTCCTTCCATGACTCTAATCTATTACAAACTCTTTTGACTACCACTTCTCTGTCCATACAGCAGTTCTCCTTTGTTTCTTCCTCGGCTGTGAGATCAGACACCAGCCTTTTCATGCCTTCTGGGATTCGTCTTTGATGGAGGAAGCTTGATCTAAGTACTTCTTGGACAAAAGTATCAATATCCGTTTCTTTGTCTGATGAAATGGACTCCCCATGCTCAAAGTAGTCATCTTCTTCCTTTTGGTCACAAGCACTGTTGGCATCATACTCACTGTCATCTTCGTCTTGTTCTGACATTCTTTTCTCAAGTTCAATTGGATCCAATTCAGCCAGTTTCTCAAACCTACGAAGTTTTTGCAGCAGCTGCTGCTTTGCCCCTGATGAAAGAAGAAATTGGCATAAGAAAGAGGTAACATGGGAAGATATTTTACATCCAATTTGCCATAGTCCTAAAGATATTAACTTCAATTCTTTTGCTATTCAGACAAAACAAACAGATCTGCTTCAACAAGATCACATGCCTAGAAAGTTGATTCATCAACATTCTAAAATCAAATGTTCGAGATGATGACTGAACCGTTAAAAAAAGGAAGAGTACTAGCACAACTAAGACAGATCTCCTAAATTAGAAATGTGGAACACCTCACATTTAAGACAGATCTCCGTCAAGAGGTCTGTCTCATCAGCCTAACAAGAGGTAAACACCACAACAATTAGCTTTTACCTCCCAGATAGAAACATCTCTTTTCCATGGATCCCACACAGATTTGATCGAATCAAAAAAACAATACAATCACATGAACATGACCCACAAATGCAGGAAATCAACAATCAACTAGGGACGGACCTGTAATAAATCTTATTGAGAAAGACCACACAACCTATAAGGAATGGTACAAAAATTAAGGCAGCAGTAGGGGCAATTGGTAACGTACTCTGAACAATTGCATAGCTACTCTCAAGATCATAGTCACGATCATGGTCCTCATCACCATTATCCAGATGACCATCATAATCATCCTCGAATGGAGGCTCCAATACTGACACAGGACTGCATTGTTCCTTCACTTCCTCTTCTTCTCCTCCTTCAACTTCCAATTTCTTTAACCTCTCAACATCACAATCCTGTTAAAGAACAAAAAACCCTCATTTCATATAACATTTTCATTTCGATTCCTTGATTGAATGATTAGATTTAGATGATTTAATAATTGTTCATAATTAGTTAGGTTGTTGACTTTCATTAACAAAATTTGCAGAGAAACTGCAACTGAATATGGTAATTCAGATGTCGGAACCGCAGATAATGGGATCCAACAGAAAATACAAAGACTGATTTGTCCTGTTTTGTGAAAATAATTTTGTGGACAGGCTCTTAATAAAAAAGATTTGCATGGCAGAAGCATGAGGGATATGATCAAAAGTACTATCTTCCTACACCGTCCAGGACATAAATAACCCCAGGTTTGCCGGAGTCATTTATTGATGCTGATCGCCGGTGGGGGTATGTTAGTCATTTCAGGTCGGCATTCCGGCCAAAATTTCAGAATGGGGCCTATTGCCGACATCTGAAATCATGAAAACATATCGACTCAGTTGCTGAGTCACAAGTTTAGTACCAAGATACTCCAGAATACGGAAGCTTTAATCAGGGCAGAGCTGCAGTACTAACTACTAATTAGTAAATGAATTAATGGATTAAAAAAATAAAAACATAAACCTGTCTTTTTTGGCGACTAGGGGATGTCGCCGGCGAGGAAAAAACCGGTGTCTGGTGGCCGGAAGAGGGGCTTCTTTGAAGTACAAAATGAAAAGGGCTTTCACAGAAGAACTTTCCATTGTCTTCAAAATCATCAGATTGGCTGCTACTGGAGGTGTCTAAATCCAAATCCAAAGACTTCTCTTCGTTGCTCTCCGACCATACGGCGCTGCTGGGCCGACTCCCATTGCAAGAGCAAGAAAATCCCATCTCATAAGCACTTATCTCAGGAGAAGCTGTTTTGACGGCAGGAGTCGTTTTTCTATTTTCCTGGAAAGATTTTCTAAGGTCGACAGTGTCCTTTACCGAGACCTTAACACCATCGCCGGAAATTTCCATCTTACGGTTGCGATTCCTATTAGTTAGCCTCTTCAGAAAGAACCCAAAGAAGCCATTGTTTTTGTTCTGGGGTTTCTGTTTCTGAATCCTGAGTGAAGCCTCGAGAAGCAGAGCTGCTGTTCTGGCCGGAATGTTAAGGAAGATGGCATTTGAGTTTCTACAGGGGCTCTTGGCCGGAGAAGAGAACTCAAACAGGGGAGACTTTCTCGGGTCAGGAGATTCATGGAACGAGAAAAAGCAAGCATTTTTACAGAAATTTGAAGGAAAATTCGACGTCTGCGAAATGGGTTTTCGCTTCTTGACCTGAATATGGGTTTTGGGCAGTGGCCGCTTGAATTGGCCACGCCTGTCGGCAATGTAGTTCTTGAGAACGAACGGTTCCTGATCCTCTTGCAACAACTCGTGTAAATGCTTTTGAGCCATCATCAACCCAAAACCGAAACACAAAAGAAGAAACGAAAACAGGGGAGAAATAGGGGAGCCCTGACTTTTAACACACCATGGAAGAAGAGCTGAAGAGGTCTCAACTTTAGATTGAAAGTGAAAGGCAAAAGGGAAGATTTTGAGGAGGAACTAAACCAGTTAAATTAAATAAAAATAGGAGAGCAAGGAGAGTGGAGAGGGGAGAGGGAGAGAGGAAGGAATGAGGAGACTTCCTGCTTCAAATTGGCACGATTCACAATATGGAGGGAGTATAGTGTTAAATAAAAAAAGTAATGACCAAGTGAGCAGGAATTGGGGAGTTTTTTTTAGTAGTAAAAAAAAAAGTGGGGCAGTACTTTGAGTCGAGGAAGAGGATCTGAATCTGGTGTCTCCCTCAGTTCTTGTCAAGTCTCGACATGTTTTGGTTTAGGAGTAATAATAGGGTTAGCCCTAGACTACAACGTTAAATCTAGGTTTGTCTTT